TGAAGTCTAGTTTCCTTGTGGGTGAAGGTGTTGGCTACTTTCCTGTCTTATGAGAGACTCAGAGGCTATCACACTCCCACCCCACCCCCAGTAGATGCTCAGTATGCACTCCCCAAAAGGATGACAACGTGCGTGCTAACAATGCTCCCTGGGTAGTATCATGATAGTTTTGGTAACAGCGTCAGTCATTGTGGGCCCATGCTCCCAGGACACATCGCAGCCACACACTCCCAGAATTCCACTGCACCCATTCTGCATCGATCCAAACACACGCGGGCATCTGCGTTGCACGGACGGCGGCATTGTGCAACGTGTGGGAATTGCTAGTTTTGTGCCTGGCTTTGAGATAAGCATGAGGACTTTATCAGTGAACAAAATCCAGGACTCGGCCTCATGGAGCATCCAAGAACAGAGGAGAAGGAGTGAACATGGGCAGATAGGTCTGTGAGAGACGGGGGGGGGGGGGGGGGGGCAACACAGCAGGCATCTTCTCAGAGCTCAGATGGAGGTGGCCGGGCCAAACCCCATGCAGGGGGACTGTGCAGGGAGAGCGAGCTGCTCAGGCCACGTTCAGGGGAGCGGTGCCCCCATTACCGCAAACCCCTGGGTCAGGAAGAGCTTAGAACTATTTTTAAAGAGTCAGAGAATAGATGCTGGGTCCTCACGCCATGTCCGCTTGGATGCGCGTGCCCCAGGGCAGCAAGGGGTCAGCAGTAACTGGATCACTGATAGCCACAAAGGACAGTTCTGTTCTAAATGTGATGCAGAGCCATCGATGGCTCGGAAGTAAGGAGTTGCTGTGATCTCATTTTTTTTTTTTTTTGTTAAAAAGTATATTGATTGGCAAGCAGCTACATGCAGGGGAATAGACTGAGAGAGGCTAGGAGAAGCTGGGCTAACTGAAGACTGCTCAGTCAGGGAATGAGCACCCCTTGAGGGAGCAGCTGGTGGATGCCACCCTGACTCAGCATTCACAGGAGGGGCAGCGGCAGCTTCTCTGTCTTGAGTCTCATGCTACTGGGCATGGACAATGACCTTGACATTTCCATAGCCTCCACACGCCTGCTCCTCATCCAGGTCATGCCTCTGTACCTGGGCAAGAGTGTCCCAGGCTTGGAAACACCTATTGAGTCTGAGGCCTGGGGCTCATGAAGGGTCACGGAAGCTGTTAGAAGCTGGTGTTGCTCTGCTTGCAAACTCGTCACAGGTGGGCACTACCTGTAAATTCTCCTGCAGTTTCCATCCACCCCGTCCTCCAAAGCTGATTCTGAGCCCTGCTCCATCACGCAGGTGAGATCCATGACCCAAACCCTTCCTCTTAGAAGCTGCTGTCTCTCCCTGCAGGATGTCTCACATGTGACTGACACTGAGCTGCTCGGCTCCTGCTCCTTCCCAGTGCACGTTGAAATGTCAGCTACTCTCCTAAATCAAGTCCAAGGCAGCTTACAAATCGTGACCCGGATATGCAACTTCAGAGTCACAACAGGGGCACTCGAAGGCAGTCTGCAAGAAGGAAGACTTTGGAAACAGAAAATTGGAAAGAATCATCAAGGACTTAGATTAGAATCTAATCATGCCAGGTCCCCGTCTTACGGATGCAGGCTTTGAGCTGGGTCACCAAGAGGGACCAGGTGTGGTTGGATCCTACTTGCTGCCATATGACACGCCCTTGGATGCCAGTAGAAGAACCCCATGGGAGAGTGGGAGCTGGCCTTATGACTAAGACAAATGGCAGGGGTGGGCCGGTACTGAAAGTGGTCGTGGGTGGCTCTCAAGCCCGTCTCCTCCTACCCACGGTCCCTTGTCAGTGCTCTGGATTCCGTCTCTATCTACCCAGCTTCCATACTGTGGCAGAAATCCCCTGCTGGACAAGTGGCGTCAAGATCTGGGGTTACCTTCCTGTTTCGTTACATAGGATGTTTCCTGTTTAACTGAACATGAGTGAGGTTGGCTGTGCTGCCTGTATCTGTGTGGTCCTTTGAGGATGGGAGGAGGAGATGGCTGTGCCCCCCCCACCTGCAGTGAGTGGCATTCCTAACTGGGGTGTTCCTTCCTTCAGTCTGACATCCCACACCAACCTGCCACCGAGGGATGGGCGTCCGCCGCGGGGTGACGAGGCTAAATAGCGTGGCCAAGATGACAGCCTGGGCCATGCTTTGGCGATGAGCTGCTACTGGAATTTTCTTGTCCCCCCCCCAGGTCCCGCCACGTTAGCCCCAAATGAACACACAGAGACGCTATATTAATTATAAAACTGTTGGCCAATGGCTAGGGCTTCTTATTGGGTACCTCTGTCTTAATTATTAACCCATAATTACTAGTGTATGTATTTCTACATGACCTTTTCTTACCAGAGAACACCTGATGCATCCTGTCTTCCTGTCTCCCTCCATGGCGTCCCTTGCGGTCTCTCTCTGCCTGCCTTTCCCAGAATTCTCCTCATCTCCTAGTCCCACCTATCTTCCTGCCTCTATTGGCCAAACAGCATTTTGCTCATCAACCAACAAGAGAAACACATATGCAGAAGGACATCCACCATCAGCGTGCCTTTTTTTTTCTTGGTTTTTCGAGACAGGGTTTCTCTGTGGCTTTGGAGGCTGTCCTGGAACTCGCTTGGTAGTCCAGGCTGGTCTCGAACTCACAGAGATCCACCTGCCTCTGCCTCCCGAGTGCTGGGATTAAAGGCGTCCGCCACCAACGCCCGTCGCCAGCGTGCCTTTAAAATGGCTGATGTTTAACTGTCCTTGGGAGGCCACCATCCTGTCGCAGATGGGCCACAAGGCTTCCATGGTCTGAATAAACTCCTCTCAGGAAGCAGGGGTGGGATCATGTCCTGTAGTGCACTCCCCACAATGCCCACAATGTGGGGGTATCACACAGACACAGAACTCTGTCCTTGGACCCTCCTCCACCTTTGAAAAGCTCCTGCCTCCCAGGTCACAATCAGCCAGAACAGATCTTCCTCTGCTGTGGACTCGGGATTCCCAGAGCCCCCAAAGCCAAGCAGGAGATGGTTTCATGCCTGCATGTATGTTCGTGTCTGTGTATGCATGTCTGGGTCTGTGCACCTGTGTGTGCACATATGTACCTGCATGCACGTATAGGTGTGTGTCTTTATGCATATAGCCCTTTCCCTGCTAGATGACTTCATGTTATCTCATTTGTGGTAGGAGGATACAAAACCTATTGCGGATGGTTGCCAAATACCCTTCTAGCCCAACTTTTTTTGCCGCTATATAAGATCCATGGTTCTGGAATCCTCACTGTTGCCTCAGATTTGGGGGATCATGGATGCTGGAGGAAGGGAGGCACTGTCAGGGCTGAGAGGGAGAAGACAGCAGGTGCTCCCAGAAGGAGTGCTCCCTAGGAGCCCGAGATCAGATCTCGGTCCCCTCTTCCAGTGTGGGGCTGGACCAGTGGAGTCAGCAGGGATCCCTAATACCGGGAAGATTCATGCTGCCCTGCTCAAGCCTCTGGGACCATCTGTTCCTAACCACGGGGGGGGGGGGCAGGGCACAGAAGACAGGCTAGTGGTGACCTTCCTCCCTTCCCACAGCCTCTTGATCAGTTCTGTAAACTTGTTGAGAAAGGAAGCTGCTGTGAACTGAATCCTGGCCGAGCACCAGAGACCATCTTTCTTTTTCTTTCTTTCTTTCTTTCTTTCTTTCTTTCTTTCTTTCTTTCTTTCTTTCTTTCTTTCTTTCTTTTTTTCAAGCCCACACCTGCAGTTTGGAGCTGACACAGAAGTTAACCACGCCAGTACTTTGGAATCAGAAAATGCTGTAACAAAATGTTTGAGGCTGGATGGGCTCCAGTTCCTCGAAGAAGCTCTTCTCTCCCGTTATCCAGTTCATCTCCTGACTGGAGTGTTTGGCAGAATTTTCCGGTGCTGTTGGTCTCCACGGCGGCTCTGTGTTTGGAATGCTTGAGATTCTGGGAGGTGGGGGAGCGATGATGGGAGGGGGCGGCTGGGGCCTCGTCTGTAGCCCTCCCTGGCTCAAGACGAGGAGAAGCCCTGGGGCTGTGTGGGGAGCTAGATGGACGGCTCAGGAAGCGGGGGGGGGGGGGCACTCCTGGGCGAGCTCCTGCCAGAGGACTGGTGTCCCAAGGGAAGAGACTGCATGGGTCCACTCTTTCCCTCTGGACACATGAGCTCATGGATCTGGCATTGCCCTGAACGCCTACAGGAGAGGCCAGGGCCTTCGACCCTCTGGGAGAGAGAGAGCTTAAATGACTCCTGTTAAGTCTCCCAGCCTGTGGCATTCTGCTGCTGCATCCTAGCAGAATGTACAAGGAGGGCTCCGTCTGACTAGCGAGAGAAACAAACAAACAAACAAACAAACAAAAATACCCACAGTGCATCCATCTGCAAATCTATTTATAAATGGATCAAGTGTTCTCAAAACCCAAATACAGTGACCAGGGTGCAGCTCAGTGGTCACTTGATAAGCATGCTTGAAAGTCTGGGTTTGGTCCCCAACACCACACAGACAGACAGACAGAGAGACAGACAGACACACACACACACACACACGCACACACACACACACTCACACACTTCTGAATTAATCTGTTTGTTCATTGTTTTTACTAGTGTATGTTCATTTCCATTTAAAAATAATATATGCTCGGTCCCGCTCACCCGGCTGGCATGTGACTCTAATGTGACTCAGAATTCAGTGTTCCCTCAGGACCAGGGAGAGAGACACTCCTGAGGAAGGAAACATCCTGGAAGTGCTCCTGCCTCTGATACAAGATTAGCAGCTGCAGCTACAGACTGGTGGGACAGCATGACCTGGAACTCTTCTGCACAGGGTAACTCACAGACAGAGGGACTCTCAAGGACAACACTTCTGTCTTTAAACCCTGTGGGCAAACGTCACTAGGATGTCCCTGAGTGAAAAATCTTGAATTCTTCCTGACAGGCAACCAGTGAGGTCACAGCCACACCTTTGGTTTGTACCAACATGTGATGTCACCGCTCCTGGGCCCCAGTTGACTTTGATGGAGAGCCGGGGCCTGGTGGCTGGCTGTCTGTCCTCAGAAGCGGTCAGCATGCACACTTTCTTGTCGCTTTGGGATGCTCGGCTGACTCCTGGAGGATCCAAGTCTGGGGTCTGGACTCCCCTTCTCTTATGGTGCTCGCTGCAGGGGTCCCTTCCTGAATGCTCGTCTCCCTGGCTTCCAGTGAGCGGTCCTGTTTACCTGAGGCTCTTGTGGGAATGGGAGGCTGGTCTCCATCATCACTGCTTAACTTTCCTATCCCTGACTGCCTCTGATGCTGCACGAGGTATTTCAGAACAGAGGACCAAGGGCAGTGGGGAGCGTGGCAGCTGTTGAAATTAGCTGGGGCAGCTGCATTCGCAGGCAGTGAGGGGCCTGGGCAGCCCCAGGACCTCTGCACTCTGGTCCCTCCTCTTCCGGTGCCCAGCTCGTCCATGGTGACTCCCAAGGTCCAAAGCCCTTTCCTTTATCGTGAAGATCCGAGAGCAGAGCTAGGACAGCCTGGACAGCAAGTAAGGGCCCAGAGTTGGCATGCTTGGGTTTGTCTTTGAGTTCTGCTCCTGTCCTCATGGGCTCGATCTGTCTCATGCCCAGGGGCTGATCTAGTGACTACTATGTACCCCTCGGACTTTAGCTGGGATCCCTTGATCCCCCTTTCTGGCCATTTCCACCTTGACCTCTCCACATAGCTTCAGCCATGACCCTACTAAGTTAGTTTGCTGCGACGGACAACCTGCCACGAAGTCAGGCCCCTCATTCTCACCCTCGTGTCTAACTCTGCCTTTGTGAGAGTCCCATTTAGTCAGGTGAGACCTCCCCACCCAATCAAGTTCCTCTCAGGAGTTTTCCATCCTGATCCCTCTTGACACCCAGCCTGTTACTCATGCCTGTGCTCAGTGAAGTTTATTCTTCCTTCCTTCCTTCCTTCCTTCCTTCCTTCCTTCCTTCCTTCCTTCCTTCCTTCTCTCCTCCCTCCCTCCCCGTCTCTCTCAGTCTCCAAGGGCATCTTCCTCACCGACAGTCAGTCACTTTTCCTGAGCACCTGTCACACAGCGGTGGCTTTATGGAGTGACAGTGCCCCACTGCCCACAGACAGCACAGGGCGGAGGAGAAGGAAAAGCTCAGACAGACCAGAACAGTCCGTCATGCCAAGATCTAAATTGACACGGAAGCTCTACCCTTGCCATGGCAGAAGAGCAGGCTCTGGGCTGGCAAGTGTGGCGATATATTGTCTATGATCTAATAAAGCTTGCCTGATGATCATAATGCAAAACAAGCCGTAGCCATAGAGGCCAGGCAGTGGCGGCACGTGCCTTTAATCCCAGCAGCCACACGAGTTGGCCATAGAGGCTAGGCCGTGGCGGGGCGTGCCTTTAATCCCAGCACCAGAGAGGTATATAAGACAGGAGCAGGGCCTTAGTGCTGGAGATTAGTCTCCAGCCACATTGAGGACAGGATCGCCCCTTGGTAGAGGTGAGAGCTCTCCGGCGGCCTGGCTGTTTTGCTTCTCTGATCTCCAGCTTGAACCCCAATATCTGTCTCTGGGTTTTTATTATTCATGCTACAGGCAAGTGGGCCCTTGCACTTGGCATTGTGTTCCTTGACATGTGTGCAACATAGAAGGTGATGGAATGCTTTTCTGGCCCACAGGTAATGTGTAATGTGTAGTCTTCCCCACCAGCCGCCTGGGCCCTATGGAGCTGTCTGAATCCCCGAATAACACACAGGACACTATATTAATTACAAAGCTGTTGGCCGTTTGCTATGGTTTCTAATCGGCTGGCTCTGACTTAATATTTGACCTATAATTACTAACATATATTTTTACAAGGACTTATCTTTCTGAGAACGCCAGACTTGCTGTTCTCTTCTCTGGGGATCACATGGCGTTGACTTCCTTCACGACATTTTCCAGAATCCTCCTAGACTCCTAGTCCCACCTATCTTGCTTCCCTGTTGGCCAACAGTGCTCTATGGACACATACACGGGACTTCCCCATCACAGGTGTGCAGTGAAGATTAGTGGCCTTAGCTGGCTATCCTCACCTGGGGCGACAACAGGGGTGTTCAGGACGGGTTAAGGATTGGGGATGGAGAGGTGACTCAGGGCAGAAACAGAGGTCAGCAAGATGCGACTGCTGGCCCACAGGATGGAGAAAAGGCCACAGCTGAGGGACTCGAGGACCTTGGGACCCCAAACAAGGCAATGGAGTGGATTCTCTCCCAGCTGCAGATCGGGGGGAACAGTGCATCCGCATGTTCAGCCCCTAAGCTCAAGGCCACCCACCATGGCAGCAACAGGGACCGTGCCGAGGACTTCGTTTCCATGGCCCGGGCAGATTCTGAGGACCTTTGGGCTTCTGCCTCTCTCCCACCCACGATGTCTCTGGCTTATTCCAAATACAAGTCCCGATTCTCCCTGCAGGCAGACCTCACGTTTGGCCGCCCACCCAGCCTGCTGAACTGCACCCCCAGGGAGCTTCTGATTGCTATCCATCTGCCCGCCTCTTTACCAGACCTCAGGCCAGTCCACCGGGGCACCTATGACCTGACGCCCTTCACCTTCCTCCAACAACAGGAGAATTGCGATCTGCCACTGTGATGGCAAAGGGAGACAAAACAAAGCAGAAAAACATAATGTGGGTGAGGTGATTTCTTTTTTTCTTCCGGACTTAAGAAGAACACACATTTCCAGGTCCTCTACATGCGTTGGAACCCTGAGGGCCATAGCATCTGTTGGGTCCTGGGGTGTGTGTGAGGGGCGGGGTTAGGGTGTCCCAGCCTCTTTGTCCTTTTCATTGACACCAGGCACCCAGTGCCTGGCTCCAAACCTGTGTCGAAACAAATGGTGCCTAAGTTTAGCCCACACTGAGCAGAACAAATGGGGGGGCAGCGAGGCCTAGAGACCCCTAAGGGCAGGTGGGCAGCTGGGGGGGGGAGTCCCCACCGTGGCGCTGGGATGGAGCCGCGGCCAAGCCTGCTCAGACCTGTGCCTAGTGAGCTGCCTCGTGCTCCCCAGGGGGTCCCCTCAAATCCTGCCGTGTTCATCTGTTCATCGGGGGTCCTCCTACTGCAGGCCAGGTGCCTGAACACCACTCAGAGAATCCGAAGCTTCACAGAGCTGCCTTCCTTGAACCTCATAGAACCACCCACCCAGCCATCAACCATCCATCCATCTCCTTGGGAAATCAGACCAAGCACTCTCTGGAGGGCTGCGCTGCTGTGACTCCCTCTGTGGTCAGCCACCTGCTCCGGCTGACCTGGGTCAGTGCTAAGGAGTTATCAGTAGGTAAGGAACTGAGAACCACCCAAAGACAGACCCGGGAGCACGGCCCAAATGCTGTCACTCTTCCAACAGCAATCAATGTCTCGTGTTTAATTAACCTTCCCTGAGTTTGCTGGGGGATGAAAGCAGTCTTCTGGTGGTAGGAGAGCCACGTGTGTGCTCAAGGATGTTTAATAAATTCTCCGCAACAACCCCCCTGTCAACTCCTAAAGATCCATCTCTAGTCCTCCTCTTAGAAGCAACTGTCTCCTCCCACCAGGGCAGGGGACTTAGACAGGAGTCTGCACACTGACTCTCACCTGTTGGAGGGTGGGAGTGCCCCTACCATGTGACACTGACTCTTGCAGTCTCCCAGCCTCTCATGACTCCTCCAGACACTGGCAGCACTCCATGGAAGCCCAGAGGCCAGCGTGCACGATACCGCCAGTCTCTAGCTGGGTCATGTGAGTGTGACTGTGCTACTGTTTTCTGAGCCCCACTGGCATCTGTCTCATGCACACTCATGTTCTCATCTGGACGTCAGTCCCTTTGCAAACTGGACTGGTCTGGGGGGGGGGGGGGACACTGTGTCAGCAATGAGCTTGGCCACCAAGGTTCATATGGGGTCAGCATTGTGGCCCTCAAGGGAAAGGCGGGTGGCTTTTATCTCCCCAGGCTGGAAGACAGACCTGGCTGATGGTCAGGATGCGGAGACGAGACACGAAGAGCTTTGAGCGCGCGCATTCCTCAGGCTGGAGAGAACACAAGCTGCTTTCCCTGGAATTTTGCAGCAAAAATCTCCCACTAAACACGAGGCTGCAGAATTCCGCATGGAAGGCAGATCTGGAGCTCTCTTTCCCCGTGGTCTCTCCACGAACACCATCCACAAAGACAAGGCAACCAGAGCCGTGAGAGAGCCATTGCCGCGTCTGTGACACAGTGAGGCCAACGGGGTGGGCTCAGCCTCCAACAGAGAATCTCCATGGTGGTAAGGCTGGCAGTGGCTTTGGTGGATAACTGGGCAAGTTTCCCTTCCCTGGTGGTACTCATAATGTAAGAGAGAGAGTGGCGTGACTGCCCGGGCGACATAAAAACCTTTGAGAAGTGCTGCTGCTGCTGCTCCCAACCCCAGGAGTGCCTGACCTGCAAGCTCTCTGCATTCAGAACTTAAATGGTGTGAAGAGGCCAACGCTAGACACATGACTCTCTCCCCTTATGACACTGCAGGGACGGCCCCTGGGTACGTATAGCATGGTCTCCGTCTACCTTTCCCTCCCGGTGTCAAGTTGAATTTCAGTGTGACCTTTGTCATTCTTCGAGGAGGTTTTGTTTGTTTGTTTGTGTGTTTTTTCACTGATGTAGATATCTTGGGTGCTTTTATTTTAGGCTGGGAACTGCCTGTGCGCTCTTGAGTCACGAGCACACCCAGTAAATAACAGAGCAGCAGCCAGCTAGGGAGTCAGCTGCCGGAAGGGCACCAACTAATTGGGCAAGTTAACAAGAGTCAGTGTTGCCGATCAGATGCCAGCTTGACTCCTGATCCTGTTGGGGGGGCACTGCTGAGAGAGCTCTGGAGAGCCCTGTTGGAGGGGCAGGCCCTCCCACCACAGGCCACGATGCCACTGACCACGGTGGCAGGAGTTGTGAGCTCCTGGTTCTTTGACACCTCTTGCTCAGCACCACACTGAACATGCGAGCGATGCCCAAGCACCCTGGAACACCACTGTGCTCTTCGGGTAGGTGTCCGGGTTGGCTCCTGTCCCCACACCCTGTCACTAGCTCACATCTGCTCTTATTCCTTCTGACAGCCAAGGTCATGGGGGCTGATGACAGATGTGCGTTACTGGGTGTCAGAGTCTTTTATTTTGCTTCATTACAGTATCGGCATGCTTGGTGGCACCTTGGGGGGACTCCATCAGAGGTAGCACAATCCCCCATTCTGTGTCGTGTGGGATGAGGGGAATCTTGGGCACTCTGAAGGCCATCAGTGCTTGGATCCCTTCTGCTTCCATGCTCCACAGAAAGCAGCTCTGCTTGAACTTAGCTGCAAAGCCAGAAAATGGCCCCTGTGTCTGAAGCATTCCCCTCAAGGTGGGTCATGGGGACACACTCAGACTCAAGTGTGGACATCTGTACTTCACCAGGAACTATGGAATCCTTCCTCCTGCTGATCTCCAGGTACCCATGTCACCCGGCACCCCAGCTCTGCCCTGTCCTTACTGTGTCCGTCTCCAGTGTTCCTCAGAAAGCTGTTTTCTCGTCTCTTGCAGTGTGGTGCTGAGCACTATGGCGCCATGAGGTCTTGTGGATGAGGCACACAAACCAGTGCTGACATGTAGGGCCAATCCACTCTGGTGCTAGCCTCTTCACTCAGCTATGGTGCTACTCTTTTCCTCTATCTTTAAATACTCTACAAGTTAATTTCTCCTCTCTGATCTTACTCTCTCACATTTTCTTATTCACCCATCCATCACATCTGTCCATCAATCCTTCTATCTATGTAATCCCATTCATCCATCCTATCATCTATCATGACATCCACCCATCCATCCATCCTTCCATCCATCCATCCATCCATCCATCCATCCATCCATCCATCCTTCCATGCCTCCATTCATCCATCCTATTAGCTTTCCATCCATCCATCCTTCCTTCCATCCATCCATCCTTCCATCCATCCTAGCATCTATCATGACATCCATCCATTCATCCATCCATCCACCCTATTAGCTTTCCATCCATCCATCCATCCATCCATCCATCCATCCTTCCATGCCTCCATCCATCCATCCTATTAGCTTTCTATCCATCCATACTTCCATCCATCCATCCATTCATCCATCATCTCATCTATCATGGCACACATCCATCCATCCATCCCCACTGATCATCTTCCTTCCTTCCTTTCTCCTTCGTCCCATGTCCACAGTCTCTCCACACTAGACGTGAGGCTCTACCAGATCAAACCTGCCTGCCTCCTCACCACTGTATACTCTGTTATGTCCCCCCATTTCCTTTCACTGTTTCCTGTTCACTCTCTCTCAAACTCATTGCTCTTGACTTTAAGCCCCTTCCTTGGCACAGTGGGGAAATCTCTCTTGTCATCTCTTGGGCGAGGGGCCTGGTGCTGGGAGGATGTCCTTTTCTTTTTTCTACCTTTACACCCTGCTGGCCTAGTCCCTCCCATGTCTTCCCTGCTGAGGGGGTTACGTCCTATGTGCTTCTGATTCTTTTTCCCTTTGTGACTCTTCCTGTCCCTTAGAAGGCTCTTGCTCTTTTCTCATGACTTCAGGGTAGGATCCCTCAAGAACTGAACTAATTGGCCCTTTCAGTAGCAATCACACATTTTATTTTATTGGTTCATGGCACGTGATCCATACACCATCTTTGGTGTCATAAGAAGGGGACTCAAAACCAGCTCAGAGAGGAGTAGGAAGACAATGACAAAGGACCATGCAGCATGACTCTGACATTAGGCTCTCTCACCCCAGATGTGGATAGTCTTCCAAGACTGCCTTAGGATAAAAAAAAATCCCCCAGGATTCATACACAAATAACCAAAAACGAACACCCACAAAGTTGGCTGCTACTGATGCTCAGCCCAGAAACATTACTCTGCATCCCTCTGAGTATGCATTTGGGTGATTCAGAGGCAGCTAGGGAGATGGGGGAACTCAGAAGGCTGGAGAAATGAGAATGTGAGCTGTGCTCCCAGTGAGCCGTGCTCCCAGTGAAGCTGTGCTCCCAGTGAGCCATGCTCCCAGTGAAGCCGGCCACGGTTGCTCCCAACCCTGCAATTTATCTTTCTAACCTGTTAGTTGCTCCTCCAGTCTCTCCCAGCACAGGAGAGCTTGGCTTCTGCACCAACATGAATTCAGTAAACATGACAGTTACTCATATACTGTTATTCTTATAAGGTCATGAGGACTTTAGACTGAGAAGTAATGCAGGTGATTTTTAAAAATAAGGTCCTGTTGGGGAGAAAGCGGGCATGGTGGGAGGAAGGAAAGAAGAGGTGGGGATTACAAGAGAAGTGCACACATGAAGTCAATTGGAGAGGGACTCAGGCAGCGGGGAGGAGGGAGGGAGGATGGCTGGGAGGATGGAGGGAGGTACAGAGTTATTGCTGAGCCTGGACCGTCTGTGAGGGTACTGTTGCTTGCCCATGAAGGCACATGATCAAGGAAGAAGGTGGAGTCTAAGACAGTCTCCCTAATTCAAACCAGGAGGCTGTTTGTACGGTGCATATATCATGCGTGGGTCTTGGGTAGGACTGAGATACCAGATGACGCCATCTTCTCTTACTGTCCTTGGGGTTGGGCTGCAGGGTGCTGCTAGCCGGATGTGGTGGCTTGGGCAAGAATGGCCCCCAGACTCAAACATTTGAGTGCTTAGTCACCAGGGTGTGGAACTCCTCTATAGGATTTGAAAGACTAGGAGGTGTGGCTTTCATGGAGGAACTGTGTTACTAGGGATGGGCTTTGACGTCTCAAAAGCCTATGCTAGACCCCGCCTCACTCTCTTTGCCCGTGGATCAGGATGCAGCTCTCATCTACTGCCCCAGCATCACGCCTGCCACGCCTGCCAACATGCTCCCCACCAAGATGATAACAGACTCAGCCTCTGCAACGGTATGCAAGAACCCTATTAGATGATGTGTCTTCTTAGAGCTGCCCCGCACTCATCATGTCTTCCCACAGCAATATAACAGTGGTGAAGACACTGGACATCATAGGGCACTTAAGGGACATGTCTGTGGAAGCCAGCCCTGTGACATAGTCCGCACGAGTGACACCCAGTGTGGCCAGGGAGAAGGCTGGAGACAGGACAAAAGCAGCTCTGTCCATGCAGCTTCCTGTGAATCTATATTTATAAATTTTATCACGAAAGGCCAAAATTACTTGAGGGAAAGAAAAGTAAAGACAAATGCCCTCAATTACCACAATGGGGTCAGACATCCGTGATGGCCAGGAGGGAGCAGGATGGGGACTCCAGTAATCTCCCTGAAGCCAGAGTCAGGCAGGAACCAGTGGGTTCAGGCTGCTCAGAGCATGGCAGGTAAGGTGTCGGCGAGTACCCCACGTCAAATCCATCTGTCCGTCCCCCTCCCCCTCCCCAATTCCTCTAGCTTGCCAGTTTCCTTCTGGGCTAATTGAACTCCAGAGGTGTAGGCTATGGGGGCAGCGTTGTCTCTGCGAGGTTCAGTTTC